CGGAGCCAGCGTCGCCCCAGACCCATTACGTTCCATTGTGTAGGGATTATCTCGGTGCCAGTTTGGCGGTCCATTATGTAGGGATTATCTCGTTGCCAGTCCGGCTGGCCGTGCCGTCCATTGTGTAGGGATTACCACCTTCCCATTTCATATTTTTAGTAGTAAGAAAATGGAGAGTTGTGGAGCACACGCCCTTTTTCATCGTTTTCAGCAAAAACTCCTGGGTAGTACATCGACTCAAAAAATCGGGGGAATCCCCTAAAAATATGAAATTCCAGATTTTAACAATTTTCCCTGGGTACCTCATCGACCCCAAAATAGGCTCTACTATATTTACATCTTCAGGGCAAAAATCTCTTTCACCCACACGCGCCAGGGATTTCCACTCACCTTGAACTCTTAACCCCGGCGCACTTTTCCTGTAAACAACTCGTGACCAGCACCGATCGCACAAACAATCACTCACCAACAAAAAAAGGGACTTTCCCTTGCTACAAGTCGAGACTTGCCCGCCTGAACTCGTGACCTTGACTCTGTTCAAAGCAAAACACGCTATGTTTACAACCGCCTTAAATAAATGGTCTATATATAAAAATAACAATACATAAAAAAAGTCAAGTCGTTAGAAAAAGTGAGAAAAATTTTCAAAACCTACATATAAATAGAAACATGAGTAATCCACAACACCGACCTCTACTTACGACCTTTAATCGATATAAGAAGGCGTTTTTAGAAGATTTTGTCAAGCGGTATAACGTCCCATTACCGGCACCCAACTGTAAATCTCACACTAAACCCGAGCTCATTGACGCCATACGGGCAGATCAAAAACAATTTAGGTATCTCCCGCGCCAGTCATATCGGCAGCTGTTAAAAACGGTTCAAAAATATAATAATCCTTTTGCAAACAAAGACAGATACGTCAAACAGGACTTTATTGAAGCGATTAAAGCTTACACTCAGCCCAAGGAAATTGAGGAAGCCGACATTAGAAACGTGAGGCGCTTTAAAGGTAACCACCGCAATTGGGAATTGATACCTCGTTTCTTTGAATATGACCTCGTGCACTTTTTTGATTTTTACAAAACTTTCATCGAGAAAAAGCGTTGGAAGAACTAAAAGAAATTGGTTCTTACAAATTACAAACAAATATTAAAGTTCAGTTTAGATTGGAGAAACCTAAAAAAACTGAATTTGGCGTATTTCCCTTTCCGAGCGACAACGACGCAGTCGCAAATAAAGCCGACGTTAAAAACGCACTCACTGAACAGAGGGAAAAACAAATAAAAGAGGTGGAGGCTCATACACAAAAACGCTCGGGTTGGATCTTTGACAAAGTTGTCGCTTTCTACATCAACGTGGTTAAATATAACCCAGTGGGTTCTTCTTACATTCCGTTGCCCAAAGAATTGGGAGACAAAAAAGCAATCATAAATGCCGAAAATAAAGATCAAGAATGAATCCGATGGGCGTTGCGGGCAGCTTTAAAATTATTTTCTGACGTCAAAAGCCAGCTAGAAACAAATCCAAAATATAAAAATAAATAAGGAGCGAACATCGACTTACAGGTCAGAATCAGATGGTTTAAATTTTACAAGCATAAGCTTTCCAACACCCATATCTCGGATCCCGCGTATCGAATTACAAAATAATTTGGCAATCAATGTGCTTGGTTACACCAAAAAAGACGGTCTTTACATTCTTTACAAAAGCAAGCGCCCAGAAGAACCGATCAATTTACTTTATTTTACCCGAGATGAAGAAAATCACTATTGTCACTATTGAAAATCACTTTTCTCGGTTAACGAGTAATATCGATCATCACAACGGCCAAAAACACTGGTTTTTCCCTTGCATGTCGCATTTCCAAACGGAAGAAAAGTTAACCAGACACAAAGAAGATTGTCAAGGCTTAAACGTTCCCACATGTACGGTCGAGTTGCCGGCCAAAGGCGAAAATATACTCAAGTTTAAAAATTACAAAAATAAACAAGACGCGCCTTCTGTCATTTACGCCGATTTTGAGTCTGTTTTAGAAAAATTACCGTCGACAGCGAGCGAAGCGAGCAGAAACAAGCAGCTAAATCAACCAATATCTCCCAACCAAACACTCTCAAAACACAGATTCACAAGCCTTGCGGTTACTCATACGCGGTCATCTGATGCGATGGAGTTTGCACTAGCCAAAAGACGTACACAGGTCAAGACGCGGCTGTTAATTTTGTACGGTCACTTTCTAAGGAAGCATCCAAGATCAACGAAACGTTTAAAAACAAAGCAGAGTTGATCTGGTCACCCGAGTTACAAAAAATCTATGAAAAATGTAATAGCTGTTGGATTCGCGAAAAGTTGATAGAAAATAAAAAAGAAGAATCTCAATGTCAGTGTGATATTCCAAATGAACCAAAAACAAAAGCTGACAAAATTGATTTCTGTCATAAAAATGAAGCTGGGTTCAGAGAATGGGTATGTTTAGATTGCAAAAAACCCATCCATGATTTTAGAAAGGTCAGAGATCATTGTCACGTGACGGGGAAGTACCGAGGCCCCGCGCATGCCAGGTGTAATCTCAAGTTAAGAATAGTGGTCAATCAAACACCCATTCCGGTGATTTTACATAATTTAGAAAAATACGACGCACATTTAATCATGCAAGGCACCCACAAATTTTACGGAAAATCAATCAAATTGATCGCTAAAAATACTGAAAATTACATTTCGTTTTCTTTTGGCCAACTCAGGTTTTTAGACTCATTTCATTTCACGGCGGCTTCGCTAGATCAGTTGGTTAAAAATTGTTCATCCGATGATTTTAAGTTACTTTGCGAAAGGTTTCCAAATAACACAGATTTATTGTTGGAAAAAGGAATTTACCCTTACGAATATATAGACTCATTTGATCGATTTCAAGAAACAAAACTTCCGTCTATAGACACTTTCTATAGCTCTATGAGACAATCCGCCATAACTGAACAAGAACATACCCGCGCGGAAACAGTCTGGAAAACATTTGGCTGTAAAAACCTGGGCGCCTACCATGACCTATACGTGGAACAGACGTGTTATTGCTAGCGGCTGTTTTTGAAAACTTCCGTAAAGTCTGTAAACAACACTACGGCCTTGACCCTGCTAACTATTACACATCACCGGGTCTGTCGTGGGATGCATTGTTAAAGCATTCGGGTATACAACTGGAACTACTGACAGACATTGATAAGCACTTGTTTTTTGACAGGGCAAAAAGAGGTGGTATCTCTAGCGTGGGTGCAAAGCGATGTGCAAAGGCCAATAATCCAGAACTACCTGATTACGACCCCAATCAACCGGAATCACACATTTTGTATTTGGACGCCAATAATTTATACGGCTGGGCGATGAGTCAGTATCTACCTACGGGTGGGTTTCAGTGGCTAAAAAACTTGAACAAATTTACACCCGAGTTTATTCCCAAGTTACGACCTAAAGACACGCGCGGTTACATGTTTGAAGTGACCTTAGACTATCCGCAACACCTACATTCCTCCCACAACGACTTCCCGATCGCCCCTGAAAATTTAGTAGTGCCTAATGAATGGTTTCCGAGTTACCAACAAAATTTAATTAGCAACGGAGTAGCCAGCGAAGCGAGCACGGTAGACAAACTCGTGGCCACTTTGGACACCAAACGAAAATATGTGGTTCACTACCAAACTTTACAAAAATATTTAGAACTAGGATTAGAATTAAAAGAGGTACACC